TTCCCTTCTTCACACTAAAAATCGATTCATTTCAGTCACGATCAATAAAACTGTAGAGAAGAACAGTTGAGGTCTATCCGAGGCTTCTTCTTCAATGCCGGAATCGGCACGTACGAGTCACACCTAGGGCACCGAGGATCCAAAGTAGAGATCAGCACGTATAAAAGACAAGCAGGACAGCCAACAGCAACCATTCCTCCAGTTGCTGGCGCCGGAGAATGTGGCGGCGAATCCTGAACTTCAGACAAATCAGTGTCGTCCGTGGCCCGTCGCTTTAAGGAAGAAGATGTAGTCGAAGATGATGGCGAAGCGGAGCTGCCGCAGTCCGATCGCCGTCGGTGACTCCACCTCAACTCTCGCTCTGCTCTCTCCAACGCCGACTTTACCTTCTCAAGCGTACAAACGCTGCGATAGGTGGATGCTGGCGCGGCACAACGCGAGGCCGAGATCGCCGAGAGGCTGAGATCGAGCAAAGATGATTTCTCCGAGACGACGACTCCGCCTCCTGAGAGAGGTGGCGGTAGGTTAAGGTCTTGCAATTCGCGAAGCACCGGATCTGGGCCGGTCTTCTGGAACAGAAACCACAAAAAATTAATACAATATTAGAAAATAAAAACGATAATCGATAACAAACTCACGAAGAAATCACAAATGTAGATCTCGAGGAGTAGAATTTAGGAAGTACATATAACACAGGAAAGAAAAAAAAAATTACACGGGGATTCCTGCATTGAAGAATAATCAGACGATTTGCAGAAAAAAATAGAATAAATCAATAAAAAATTATCCATTGAAAAATTGATAGTCAAAGCACGCAGGAACGATCTGAAAAAAGTTTCATCGACTGGTTTGAAAACAACACGGATTGCACTACAATTACATGAATTCAAAAGAAAGCAACAGAAAACGGAGAGGCAATAACTCGTTGATGTAACAATAATCAGGGAAAAAAACGGCGGAAAAAGAAAAAAAGAATTACCAGTTGGTGGAGGTGCAGATCCCAGGCAACGGGAACCTCGAGCTCCACACCAACCTCGCCGCTTCCGACGAGCCCCTTCCCACCACCAAGAAGATCTATTGTTACGAGATCCCTCTTTCCATCACCATCCTCCTTGTACCCGCTAACCCCTCGTACCATCGAGCTCACCTCGGCAGCCATCATGGGCTTTCGGACGCCGCTAGGGTTAGGGTTTGGAAGATCTCCACGGAAGGCAAGAGGCGGACGAGACGGAGAGGAAACAGGGCAGATAAATGACGAAAAGATCATGTTAATTTATATAGGCTAATAAATTGATAATTAATTAATGAGATATTTGAATAGGAGGTATTAATTAATTGTTATGATTAAAGGTAGTTCATTATTCTTCATTAATTGTCTGAAGACTGATTGGTTTGTGATTAATAGTATCCGTTAAGACTGAGCAGAGCAAAGAATGCAAGATCATGTGAATTAAGAATGCCATTAATTAGAGCGCAGTTAATGCTTTATAAAGGCACTTCGAATTAATGGCGGGTGAGAGGGTATTTAATGTTGCTCTTAACTATTCGAAACTAGCAAGAGTTACATAAATTACATTTATTAGTAATTAGTATTAAGTATTTTAATTATACTTTAAATTTATATTCCGAATTAACTACAATCTTTTGAAATTTTGTATCAAATTAAGTTGTCATTAAATGTATTAAATATGATGATTTTAAATTCGAAAAGAAAATTCAAAAATTGATCGCCGGCAGGACAAATTGTTGAATCATTATTTTAACTATATAGAGTATGCTCGTCGTGGGGCTTCCCTCGAATGTAAATGTGACTATTGTATTTTTTCGCACAAAAAATTTTTTAGTATCACACTAATATTATCATCTTTTTGAAGTTAAATAAATATGTTAGGAATCACACTCAAAGAACAAAATGTAAAGAAATGGAGATAGAGAAAGTAAAAATGAATAACAATCAATCGTGTCTTATCCATAAAAAATTTCACTTATCTATAGAGAGTAAGGTACAATGATGATTTTTTTTTTTTTTTTGCCACTGCTTGGAAGGGATCCGTGTTAGGGTATTTCTAGTATTTTATATCTATGAGTTTATCATCAGGTTGCTTTCTGGTTCGACAGGCTAAGCATAGCGGACTTCAGGTTGATAGGATGAGCTCGATTATTTAAGCTTGGTTGGTATTACTCGATAGGCTGATCGAGCTTGATTGTCATTCATTGATCCCTTGTGAAAAGCTTCTAGGGCGTCAATGGGACGATTGGAGATATTATGCGACTAGATCTTCCTTGGGATCGACTTTATGAGAGGTTAGACTATTGTATTAGGTCAGTTTTCTCGTAGTGGTTGGCTCAGTTGCATGTTTTCTTGTTTCTTCCCGGAAGGCCCCCAGATGGATTATCAATCGTATGTTTGTCCACCTCACGGTTCAGTTTGGTTTGGCCTTGTTTGCTTGGCTCGTATGTTATAACTGAATCAGTCATGTGCGCCTCATGATCTTTTGGCAGTAGGCTACTGAGGCGGAGTTTATTTATGTGTTAGTAATGTTTTTCAATATCTAACACACGTGACAATGAGACTAGGAAATATGCAAGACAATCACAATAAAAGTTTACATCGGTATCAATTTTTTTGTTAACTCTTTAAAAGCTTCCACTCTTATTGAATTAATATATAGATTTTCAATGTTAAATAGTCATTAGATTGCAAACGTAAGTATACGTATCGCACAAGTAATAAATGACTCTATTGGAGTTTTAAGTATTGATCCAACAGAGAGGTGGAAATTTTTATATTGCCAACACAAACACACAATATCAAAACTACAAGAAACTTAAGTACGAAAGCAGGTTGAGGTTTGTACTAAACAACTAAAGAACTATGTTTATTGCACTAATTTCTAAACTTTAAAGTTAAATCTAACTTAACTAAGCTAAGTTTTATAATGAAGGGTTCAAATATCTGAAAGTATCATTCCACTTTAAAATGAGGTTATAGTTAGTGAAGTGTCCAAATTATTAGTCTCAAAATCCACTGTTGGCTGGAAAGATACCAAGCTCTCACCTTAGAGTTCTCACGTTCCCCTCACCAGAGGGCTAACATCTCACTTTAATTTCCAAACACCTGAACTAAAATGGGGATTTTAGTCTGTCACCCTAAAATCTTCAATTCTACGCTTGACAAAGCTTATTTTCTTATTTATTTGCACTCAATCTCATGGACTACGTTCTCATCCATGAAATCAAATTTGATTTTTACTTTAGTTGTAGAAAGCATAGCCTTCTCGAATCGTATGTTTTTACAACAAATTTTAATAAATCAATTAGTCAGATTGATAAGTAAATGAAGTACAAAGTTTGAATCATCACAATTAAGAATTTTAAAACATTTTCAATCAATTTAGATTCTTCACACAACTATATCTCATTGTATGGAGAAGGCCAAAACAAACTACTCAGAATTCATGAGTAAGATATAATAAAATAAGGATTTCTATATTTATAGAAAGAAGTTTACACTACAACTGAAAATTAAAAAAAAAAAAACTTATCTTAATCTCCTCCCAAGCAAATCCTTTGAAGTCCTTTGAATCACTTTCTCTTCTTACAATATCACTCAATTCTCTCTTAGAAATGTAATGAAGAAGAAATCTCTCACTTTCCCTCTCCTCTTACAACTCTTAGAAAATCTTCCCTAAGCCTTTCTAGCCCTTACACATTTTCGACCCCTCTCATTTCGAGCATAAAATCTATACTCTATAATGTAGTGTTGAATTCCCAAGAGTTTCCTTCGACATCCTTTCAAAAATCCATCCAAATTCAATGCCTTTAGAGGAATAACCATTTCTGGCACCTAGGCGCCAGAATCCGGCTCTTAGGCGCTTCCTTCTCTGGATTCTAGTGCTTAGGCACCGAATCAGATGCTGAGGTGCCAATGCAATTCTGTACTCTGGCGCTTAGGCGCAAAATCAGGCCCTTAGGCTCCAGTTCAATTCTTACAATGAGCCATCTTTTGCCACCAAATTCCTTCCTATTTGCTTCTTTTAAGCCTCAAATGTCTATACTTAGCATACCTGCAACTAAAATTCTATCATTTGTACTTGCACCCAAAAAATATGAAAATTCCTTTCTTTAAAGTGCAATATCATTAAATATGAGCATTAAATGTATAAATAAAAGTTTAATATTTTTAGGCATGTTAAAATCCCCCAAACTTAACTATTATTTGTCCTCAAGTAACTCTTTCACTAAGTAAAAGTTATGACTTAAGGTAGTGAGCATCACTTAAAGACTTCTATAGTTTTTGTTTTATAAAAATAATAATAAAACTTTAAAAAAATATTTAATGACTTAGGTTAAAACTAAGGATGTAAGAATATCCAGTAATTAAGTCTAAAAGTTTTGATTTTCTATTCATTTCAAGATATTTGTAATTCTTCATATTAAGGATGCTTAGAAGAATTATATGAAAAAGAATTTCATGAGAACTTCATTAGTAAAGATGTTAATTCGTTAATATAAGTTAGAAATGTAATTAAGCCCATTTTCTTAAGATAATTCAAGTGAAGCCAATTTTTAATTAGTCATCTCCTCGAGCTTCTCCTTACAAATATTTTTCTTTTTGCTTTTATTTTTCTTTTAGTTTTGCTTATCCTTTTTTTTTCTTTTAGGATCATTTTCAGTCTTTTCTTTTATATTCTTTTTCATATGAGGATTATTATATCTGGATAGCCTTCACTATCCTCTTCTTAAAGTTAAAAACTTCTCACATTTCTTTCTTATAAATGCATATTAGCTTTGAAAATTATTTTTTCTAAAGTCTCAATTCTTTTTTTTATATAACTATAAGACTTCTCTTAATACTTCAAAAATTCAATTTCATTTACTTTAAATAATAAACAGATAACCTTATACTCTTATACTAAACATCTTAACTTTTAGAACTATCGTTTATTACTAAAGACTTTTACTTAAGTATATAATCATATTTATATATTCAAAAAAATATAATTATATTATAGTTGACCTCTGATACCAAATGTCATTTTAAAATATTTTTCTTAAATACAATTTATTGAGCACAAATAAAGTTTAGTCTCTTCTTTTTAAGAAAAGTTTTATTTTCCCCAAACTTAAATTTTTAATAGGTAAAACATATAGAGTTGAAATGTAGGAAGAATAAAACAATAAATACAATTAATAATACTAACCTTTTGTATAGGGTTTTGAACATGATTTTGTGCAGGTACTAAAAAAATGTAAAGCAGTATATAAAGTTCCTATAACATGTTATAACAAAAAGATTTGCCAAGTAAAAGAAGAGTTCTAAACATAAACATTAAATATGAAAAGAACAGAAGCAAATATCCTAATATTACAGATAGCAAATTTTAGTACGACAACGAAACATAAATCGAAAACAAATACAAGTAAACATCACAGACACAAAACAAAACTAAACAAAATCCATAAAATATCAATATAAGTCCTCCTCCTCATCACTATCAACATCTTCTTCTTCCTCTTCAAAATCTATATTCTCCTCAATATCTTCACTCTCATTAGGCATAAAGATGGGGCATGTAAGAAATTCTACTGTGTGATCATCCCTCATGAATTTCTCCATTGCCTCGTGATAAGCAATATCAAACTCCACTCTCATCTTGGTATACTCATCATTATGGTGCAGGTGACCTTATATGCTTTTTACTTGATTTCGCAATGTCACAATATCTCCTTGTTGTATAAATAGTTGCTCCATTACTGAATCCAGTGATGTAGTACCAGATGTAGAAGGTCTAGAGGTAGAAGTAGAGGGTCTGGAAGCTGAGATGGAAGGAATATCAGTACTTCCACCTCCAGTTCGTAACGCAACATGTAATTCATAAGTATGCACATTTGGCCTGCTGATGGGTTTAAAAGGTTGCAAAAACTCCTCCCATCTCTCATATCGAACATCAGATTGCTCACAGAGAATAAAGAATAAAGCAGGATACCCTAAACCTCAAATAGTTTTCCTTCTTGAAGAAATGAGGAAGTTTTGGTAAATAAGAGAGCCAATATTTATGCGGTTTCCTTGTTGAATACAATATTTCAATATGGCTCACTTTTTAGTAACTTCACTAAGACGATAGAAGAAAGAAGTCTTCCATAAATAAAATAGTGTCATGCTCTGGAGTGTGCATTCAACATATAGGTAGAGAAGTTTACCTTGCGTTTGTTCTTTACTTTCCAAACTCCCTTTCCATCAGTCAAAAATGCAATAAACTCATC